TCACTTCCAAATAAACTTAAGAGCTGACCTTAGGGAAACTAGGGAGTGCTGGCCTATTTCAAGTATTTATCAGATGATTCAGTTTATTAGACAATAATTTTGAGGTGCTCGATGGACCGTTGCCTTTTATGCAGGAAAGACCTTCATACTATCATTGAAGATCTCGTACCTAATACTGTAATGTTATTCACAAGTGTGCATCCACGGAGATTTAGGTACATCCACCACAAAATTCGTGAGACTCACACTGCCCATGATACCCAAGAATAAGATAGCTGTACAATGCTTCTCGGACTTTCAGCATACATTGACTTCATTTTCTGGATCTATTTAGATAAACGGGAGATTTTCTGATCACTTATTAGATAAGTAAACAACAAATCTCTCAAGGGTCGGTCGTCTCAAAAATCCCACTTCAACATCACTTTTGACATCTTCCTTCTTTTTCCAAATAAAATCCAGTCTGGATAACTGACTTTCTCCACCTTCAAAGTCCCCAATAAACCGTATTCTATCAATGTCTATCTGTCAATATTATATATATATACATATATATATATGCGTATATATAAGGAGAGAGGGAAGGACTGTGTATGTATTCGCGACAGTATGATCCCATTACTTTTAAACACGCTCCTGCTTTGAAACGGATGGTACTCAAAAAATTTGCTTTGAAACGGATGATACTCAAAAAATTTGCTGTGATAGAACAACGTTCCAAAGTGGTAAAGCTGTTTATATAAGTTGAAATTTGACCATGTTAGCCAAACACGTGTGGAAGGCAGGTACACAATTAAAAGTAACTAGCTTCCTGTAGTAGTAGCGTCTTCCTGTAGTAGCTTCCTGTAGTAGCACCTCAAAGGCACCCTCTGGGAAACAATAAGCTTAGCGTTGAAATCTCACTATCTTCCGCCTTCTAATTGGGAATCGGTACACAGCCTCCGATCACTGTTATGTACGGCCACTAACTGTACTCCACACGAACGTTTTTTTCCAATACACGCGTCGCTTAACATTTGGAACACCGTTGCCATCTTAGTTGACCACCAATGGTCCAGTTCTGCCGCAAAGAGGTGATAGGTCATCCAAGTATCAACCACAAGTAGAAGTCGACCATCTGGACTGCAGCTACGCACACATTGCTCATCGAGACGGAAGAGTCGAAACTGTCCCTTCGCCGTCTAGCCCCAGCCGCGCCGCAGACAACTCAAACCTGAATCCCATGGGGAATACCCAGATACGACCGAAACAACCGGACGTCAGCCCGATGGCTCTCAAGCATCTGAATCTTCTTCGGTACCGTCCTCCGAATACCAACCGAGTTACCCTGAAATCCTAGAACAACAGCGGCGTATTCATCCTTACAGTTTGAGGAACAGAGAACCCTGATTCAGTACATCATTCTCTGTCTACGTCAGCTCATATGTGTCCATTCAAACAATGTCGGGGTGAATGTCATGATTTTTGTGTGTTTATTACTATACTTACCATATATACTCGTACCGAACCTTTGTATGTACATTTCAGCTCATGCAAATTTGTTCTTAGACAAGTAAAAAGTTGCTTATCCCCAAAAACCCGGGCTCGGTTCTAACTCGTTCTCGGACACATTCTTAACGTCTCAATAATGAACTAGTGAAAAGGAACAAAAAATTATTGTTGGAGGTTGCAGTTGGTACGCCGAGTCTGGAGCAACACAGATCGGGAAATGCATCCCTTTTCTGGTCATCTCAAGAACCAAGTTACTGAGACCATCAAAAATAAAGGGTGCTCTGCTCTGAAAAAGCATTGGTGACGCCGGCGGAGTAGGCCCAGCGTATCCGATGACGAGAGGAGCGCTGTGGGCAAAATTTGGGGAGAGTTGATTATGAACCTATGTTTACTAAATACCGTTAAATATTTAATACTGGCACTAAAATAGCCGGAAGAAACTTGAGCGGACAGTGCCCAAACCAAACTAGTAGAGATTTCCATTACCCTCCTTGTTCCTCAGTGCACAATCAATTTAAAGCAATGCTGTTAAACTGGCATCACAGCTACTATTCAATCGCTATGCTTGAACTTCTGCTACGTAAGCATTGTAAAGAAGCGCCCTTTAGAGAAACGACAAATTGAAATGGTACTGGTAAATATAATTGGGAGGAATAAATTCGACGCAGGTATAGTAGCTACCTTATGGCGCCAGTCACCTCAGGTACCTATATGAATTGAAAAAAAACGGAGAGAGTTTACTACCCAGATTTGAGTGAAGTGACGAATTCTTTGAAAATCTCCAAAACCATAAGATGTGATGACAGAGAATATCTGACGCCAGACAGCCACTTTGTAATCGAACTTCAAGTGGTAACCCCGATTCAAAGAGCTTATACTCTAACATTTTCCTAAGGCCCTAATTACGGTTTTCGACTTTCTTGTCTTATAGGAACTTTTCGGGAAAAAACTGAAGGGAAGGACCTAATGATAGGCTGTCTTCGTCAAAAAATGCGCAGTCAGTGGAATTGAAACTTTTTCTCCGGACTTGAAACAATCAGCTGGACCGAGCAACTTGGCCAAGCACGTGAGAATCATTGCGCCTGAAATCTATCTACTCTGACAGCACAGTAGGTACACTAATTGCCTGTTCCACATACTGTTTGAAAAACCTGATAATGAAAGCCATATTACTAAGCCCCATGTACTTCAAATGAAGCCACTCCCACGTAGATTGATCCATTTCTATGTTGAGTTCCTTCCATCCTTAACAATTTGTTTTGCTAGACTTAGTTTTCAACGTTCAAGTGAAATTCTGGAATTGAGCATAATTAAGCATGATCGATCGCCATGTGATAGTAGCAAGGAAGTAAATCCAACGCTCAATATCGGATGACGCTGTGACTTACCTACAGTCAGCGATTGCGACGGATCCATACAACAGTCTTGATGTTCCCAATAATGAGTCACATCAGTAGCACACAAAGTCACCCACATTCGAAAGAGCAGTGGAAGAAACGCGAGCAACGTTACCTGTTAGAAAACGCACTGCTTCTGGCCTAGACACGATACTAAGAGTGGTCAGCCAATCACCACACTGACCAGAAAAACGGATGAAAAGTTACTTAGTTACTTAACTAGTTATAGTGAGTGTAGCGACTGAACACTAATTAAGCAATGCACTCTCTCTGACCTTGACGGCCACTGTGCAGAGCTGCTAAAATCAGTTAACTTTTCAGTAACAGTATCATATTCGGCAGTTTATTGATAGTTTTCCACGAGTGGCACGCGGTAATACAACGGTGTTTTGAGTGGCGTTCCCTCCAAATACGACCTGAGAAGATGCAGATATTAGATGGACGTTTTGAAAAACAAGCAGCGAGAATACATTTAAAACAGTCTGTTATCACTTTGCTCTCGTCTCTCCCCCTGTTTTGTTGGCATGCAGGAAAACGCTAGTTAAAACTACTGTAGACTATACAAATAGGCTTGTCCCATAGTAGCGCTGTTAATTCAAGACAACTTGCATCAACTTGCTCCCCAGTTTATAATGACGTTAAATAAGAATCAGAGCATAGGGATGGTGTCTTCAGAATTTCTCATCCACCTGTCTATCAAGCCCACTTATCAATATATTCAATCTAGCCAAAGACCCTGGTTTTCTGCACAGCACGATACTAAGAATGTAGTTCGGTGGAACGCAGGATTACTAGATTCTGCATACGCCAACGTATATATGACGCATTATACTATAATGTCGGCCTCCATACAGAAAATATTCCAGTGCCCTTAATACAAGGCCAACCAAACACTGAGGTAGTCTTTGCACTGTATGTTCGGATCGTATACTCAGAGGTTCTTTTCAATGGCCAAACGACACAATCGTCTACAAGCCAGCGTTCAACTCGGAATACGCCGGCCTTTAAATTAAGAAAAACACATCCCAATACCGCCTTGCTTTGTTTGTAGCATGTCTGACTTCGTTTGAGTCTCCTAGGATAGGATATCGATACATGAACAAATAATGCACTTCCGCCTCTAGCTCAATGGGGTTTTCCCAGTCAGTCCATCAAACCAATAATATTCTCCAAAGAAACAGTATCCGCACCATCAGTGTTGATAAAAACGTACCGAACAGAGTTATTTTGCTAACTATTTCGTTCCTGAATCTGTGCACAAGGCATTCCGCTGGGAAGTGGAGCCCTCATACCGAAAACACCAACATCGACATACTACTAAAGTTCAACTGAGTAGACGGTAAAATAAGAACGTTCAATCCCATTCACGCCCGGCTGGGCTTCAGCTCTTGGCACAGCAACGACAACATACAGTGATACGGTTTAATTGTACCACTGGGTGACGCGGTTGTACTTATCAGATTGAGGCATAGCGCGCGGGTCTTCCCACTTATCACCCAGTCAGACAGTACGGAGAGGCGAACACTCGCCGTTCACCCGCGCAAGTTGATACTTTCGCTCATGTACGAAAAGATGCAGTGTCACAATAACAGGGCCGAAAAATATATCTAGGGTTCTGACTGTGAAAATAACTGGGGTTGTATTTATTCATTCCGGTACATAAATTGCCCAATAATGGGACGTTCAGTGGTCCACCTCGAACAAGGCGCCAAATTACCAAAAAGGACACCCAACATGAATGCTCGGAGAGCGCGATAACTGAGCTCACTTTCAGATGACAACCTTGTCGCTAAAAAAGTCCTGCGGTGAGGAGTTACGAATGAGCAACATTTTCTTTGACTGCCTTCCAGAGGCTTATTCGCACTAAAAGTTGACGACTGAATGGTTCAGCGAAACTTAATAAAACTCATAATACACCAGGCCATACTGGGTTAGTTTGGTTTTTAAGTGAACTTATAAAATAGAGATGTCATTAATTTCTTAGTTTTTTTACACGAGATTTGTCGCTTAGAAGTATGGGATCAAATTACAGAAAACAGGAAGTAAACTAATCGCGGTCGTTCGACGATTGTTGTATGGTTGGATTACAATCCTCCAGAAGCTGCGGATGATATGGCGGATCTGTCTAGTGATGCACAAAGTAAACGGCCGACCCTGACGGCAAGCAGACGCCCTCCTGATTTCCCCTTAGTGGCTGACTTTGAAAACATATTATTGCAACGAAACATCGATGTTCAGAGACTGTTATCCAGAGAAATAAGTTTGCGAAACGAGCTTGGCCAACAAAAGGCTCATAAACGTTTGGAAGAGGGTTTTTCACGTCAGACTTTAGGCACGATGGACAGAGTTAAGGCCATATCGATTTTTGCGTACCAGCCGGATGTGAAACAGCAGCCGTGAAGTTTCGGTAGGCGATCGGTCCATCATCGCATCTAAAGATCAGGATTCAGACACGTGAGATTGCCCGGACAGTCGTGTGTGCACAGCTCACCAACTAGTCCTTGTTAGCTGTAGATACATGGCCGTTCACTTACAGCCGTCCCACGGCTTTGTGCATCTGGATTCAATCCCACTACGACTTCGGGAATTAAGTAACATTCAGACCGCACCCCAGCTTGGGGTCGCTAATTTCGCGTCCTATTTTTCGGCTTAATCCTATCTCCGATTTGACCCGTCTATGAAACACCTGTTCAAGCATAGATGAACGCATTAAATGTGCTACCCAGGTGTAGCAGCCACTGGGGGTACCAACAACTCTCAAGTAGAACATAAGGTTGACGGAAACACGGGGACTGCGCCAACCTGATGAGCCCCAAGGAGGGCGAAACCGGTCGTGGGCTGTCGATGGATTTTCAGCAACCTTGTGAGTAGTGCATTACAAATCTATAACGCATTCCTCACCTAGGGACGCATGTTGTGCGTAGAGCAAAATGCGCGCCACCTAGAACTATCTAAGAAAAATCTCCAATTAGCGAAACTTCACCTCGGAAAACCATGAAACACTCGTCAGCCTGCTTCAAGACTTCACGTGTTATGTGTAATCTATGGGACAGAATACAAGAATCCAACCGAAAAAAATAAAAGTTGACCCGGGACGAACATCAATTGACTTATTTCCGATGAAGAAATGGCAAAATGCCAGGTGAATAAAACAAAAACTGTCAGTCTGTCAAGTTTCCCAGCTGACTATGAAATGGAAAGGTCCATCAGAAATTGAGCAAAAACTACTGCAGCACGTGTCTTTTGTGGTTCAGCCCCGGTAAAGCAAATGCGCTGGTGATACCACGTGTTCCAGTCATGTGACTGCTCGAATGGGATTGCCACGAGTTTTCAAACATTGGATAAGGAAAAGAACACGCATATTAAGTGATCAGGTTTTGTCACATAGGTCGTACCGTTACTGATGTTGCGTCTCACTACGGTCACTTTGGATTGAACGTTGTTTTGAAATAAGACAGAAAAGATTGGTTCAACGTCACCCATGGAAATGTGAATATCATGCTGATCGTATATGTAGCAGTGATTGACGTGATCCATGAAGCTGCATGAAGACAAACCTAAAACGCCTGGTGCCGTCACCAGGCCAAAACATCTGTAACTATATTTGTTCGCAGGGTGGGACTCACAACCGTCCGATGCCACACACATTCCAAGGTCATCAGAGTTACACTTAAGGAACCATTTGATCAGCTGCAATTACTCATACCGATCGGTTACACCTCATAAACACCGGAGGTAGAGTTACACATTCGAATCTCCTAAAAAATCATCGATCGTTCACTGCTGATAATTCCCAATAAGGATGCAACAACTGTACAGAGCCATTCGGATTCAGTGACCGCGCTTGCAGGACGAAATCTCGCGCGCACACACACATACACGCACGCACATACACACACACAAACTCGTACCTTAAAATTTTCACTTATCAGAGATATCACGCTGAAAATGAAGTCATCCTATGCCATGTCACTCTTTCAGTGTATAGCTGCCGTGCAGCAAGGAAGAAGCACGAAGGTTAAGACATCGTCAGGTTGCCCAAGCCTAGACAGAAGAAGTCAGCTAGCAGCTAAATACTAAGCCGCTTGGTCACTGGGTGACTGATCAGCAAAGTAAGTAACTCGCACACAGCCAGAATATAGCATCACCCATTGTTCGGTCAAGCAATTCAAAATATGTAGTCACCTACTGAAAGCTACTCGAGTGGCGTCTTTTCAGATGGAAAGATCATGCAACTTCTGAACCATTTTACTTTCTGTGCAGATCACCAGTAGTTAGAGGATAGTAGGAGATCTTCAATCTTCACTCGATATATTAGAAGTTGCAGCCGAAAACCAGAGACAAATAGATAACCCGACCCCATTGATTCTAATTTGTTTTCACTTCGAATGAACAGGTTGAGGAAAAAATAGCCGAAAAACAACCACATACGAAAACATTAAGGCCTCCAGTTAGAAAATACTGGGCACCAGAAAAACGCAAAGCCAGTAAATCTATGCCATAAGTTTCGATGCGGAAAATCGAGATGCACAGAGAGGAATGAACTCATATTTGGTCACAGCTCACTCGGGACTCATCTTTCAGTTCCATTGACCCTTTTCACGTTTAGCCATCCAGCAAAAAGTTGGCCGTTTTAACACGCTTATCCAGGTTAATGACACTGATTGCCAGTACAAGCTTGATTTAAGGTCCTGAGTGACAGTGGGAACAACTATGACGCCTACAAGTTGGCACGCAAAGCTAGTCATGATTCCTATTCCGACCAAAAAATCCGTTTCACTACATAGCAACACCTTGGAACTGACCATGGGTTATCGATTCCAAGAACAGTCAATAGAAGTGGTAACCACAACATTGTCGATGTTTTTAAAACGGTACATTAGTTCGTTTTTGAAGGGTATACGCGGAGTCGATTTAAATCGTTCCGTCGTTAAGGGTATATCTCTGAGATGTGGACTTGAGCTTCGTGACCATGGGCATTTAAAAAAACTCATAAATGGATCAACGACTGCTTCCCTCATTGTTCTATCATTTGTGAACTTTATCGGTCTCGTTTTAGTTCATAATCATCGGGGTCTTCTTTGTACGGCAGCCAAAAACATCAGTATTAAATACCGATGTTATGCTGTCGGTGACGACGATGAGGAAGGTTATTAGTATGGTGATTTCGTCCCCGTCGATATCGTTGCATTTCACACCCTTCACTTTTGTCTAGCCACTGGAGTTGCCTTGTCTACGGAAGAATAAAACCATGTGTTCTTTTTATAGACGGCGGCCCTTAATTACATTGTGCTGCTTCGTAATGGTCCTTCCCCACTACATGCGACCCATCGGAAACACAAATTTTTGCTCCCAATGATTTAGGACGTGAGTAATCGACTTCAGAGCGAAGGGCTTTTTAATTAACACGAGCTCCGTTCGTTGGCATCAATCTTCATCAACTTGCGCTTCATCTTCATCACCGAACTGAGGAAAGAAACGTTTCCATGTTGTGACCTCAGAGTCCGGTCTTTTTTGGAGAGTTCTTAAAATCTAAAGTACACACGTGATGGCTGAGGAGTTGATACAGGCTCGATCCGAATACATTACACATAAAGCACCTAAATCACCCAGTCAGGTCAATAAATGTGCGCCTTCCCTTTCGAAACATCGTGGCATTGCAAGACGTGGTGAGCACGACAAATACAGAGATGCAAAGACGCTAAACCTTACTGCAGCGCGACTGTTCGCATACTTGAGGTGTCCGCAGTCAGTCCTACCAGTTCGATCAGTTCATAAAAGTTTAATAAACATACTTTTAATTCTTCGTTTTGGGTCCCACCTAGCAGTTTCAGAGCTAGTGCAACCTTGAACAAAAGGTACCGAGTGGTGCTAGGAATACCATTCGTGTCAAATCCCCGAATGCTAAATCTTAAAAATCAGAAAGTCTCGTACCAAGGTACCCTCAGTAGGCGACGCGTATTCAGCTGTCATATTGGCTATTGTCCCCAAAATTACAGGTTGGACTTTTAAATTTTATGAAAGGAAAGTTACAGCGATTCAAAATGTATTCAACATCGAGAACATTATGTGACCCAAATGTTCGGGCAAGGTAAGCAAACCACCGCTTTCCAGCTCCTATAGCCACGCGAAGCTACTTGGGCCTCACCTCGAAAAGTGGGTCGTAATGATAATAACGAGAACTTTAGTAACGGCCACCCATACTTTTTCTTCTGAATCATATTTATCGCATCTCTAAATTACGGTCACCTAAAAACAAAAATAGGAAACGGCGCTCTGATAGACTTAGAGCCAACATTCCACTCAGAATTCTGTGATTACTTTAGAGTTTGGGTTGATGAATGCCACTTGCATTGTGCCGCAGACGGTCTAGTCCATGGTTTAAACGGCTATTATGTGAATGAACTGATAATCTGAGGCTCGACTTTTGCCTATAGTAGCCGCTGAATAATATACTCAGATGACCACTAGTAAATAGTAGGGTTTGCCATCGTTCGTCACGCAGAACCTGATAACGACCGAACCATGGGCTTGAAATTTTACCGGACGTTTAAGGGAAGGGTGAGGACGGACGCGGCCAACTGCGCCCACATGAGCACTGAGTCCTTACTGAGACCCAACAGGCGGGCGTGGAAGTATATGGCACATAACTCTTTCAGGCTAACCTCTGGACCAACATCCACTGCGATAACTGATCATACGTGATTCTCCCACTACAACAGAAAGATCACGTCTTAAATCAAATTCACAAACCGCACAGACTGGTTAGTGCATACGTGGTCCAGAAGTTACGGTCTGAAACTGTTGATCAAAAGATCATGTGTATAATCCTTCTAAGCCCACTCGAAAACTAAAGCGCCCGTACGACTGAGGTTTTCGGCATCCGATCACACCTTTATCTTAGATCTTATAACTATCGTAGATCGTTTCGTTGAACGGTGCCCTATCCGGACCAGCCTGACGGATTAGGAGAACGGCACTAGTGATTCTTGTCGTGAAAACTATTGCAAACTCCAATCTTCAGTATATACTAGCTCTTTAATGGTCAGAATGAGGAAAATTTGTGTACGCCACCATAGTCGTGCGGCAAACTGCTTCCACTGACGTCAATAATGGCTACTGGGTTTCATCAAATCCAGAGTTCACTCGGCGACTCCAAAGAGAGGGGAGATAAGACGACTATGTACCGGAAACAAGCTCAACAGAGCGCGTTCCGCCCTAGGGTTGAGCTATAACAGCCAACCCATCAGAATTAATAGGAACCCGGAGAGTAGGCTTACTTGGTCGGTCTGAAGTGCATCACCATGCTTACTCTTGTTTTTAGAGACAAAAACGTCAAGAGAGCGCAAGTAAAATCTGGCCGATAAATACCCGTTTCCCAACATGTAAAAGAACGTCAT